TCATTTACCAGCTGCAACAAAAAGAGTTCACCCTGAAACTAATATTATTCGGCCCTGGAGTAACAAGTGAATCTCCCCTGATATCTCTAACACAACAAAGAGACGGAGCAGGAAAGGTTTACACATGTAATATTTTTCCTGAGGTAATTTAAAGCAAAATACACAATGACACTCAATCAAGCATATCTACAATGATAAGGAACGTGGTTACTTACTGAGTTATTAACGCACAGAAATGCCACGTGAAGAAAGGACGGACTTTGAAGGAATAAATAGTGTGAGGAGAGATCCATTATGGTGCACTGGACAAGTCTGAACATGAGTGCGGCACGCAGGTCTGTTCAATTACCTAATTTATCGGCTTAAATATATCGGCTTAATTATGACATCGGATTGATAACGATAATCTTAAAAAAAGCGTTTATCGGCCGATAACGATATAGGCGGCGATATATCGTGCATCCCTAAAAACCGCACCGGTCTTTTGGTTTGAACACCAGCAAAGGTGGGGTCATTAGCAGTGAAAATTAAAGTACCCGCCCCCAAGACGTCATTTAGCAGACCTAATTGAAAACTAGACAGATAAAATGTTTGTTTATTTAGACATGTCAGGTTTTTTTTTTTCATAGGACTATATGAATGCACTGTGGGAACTGCTTTTCACTGCATTTTGTGACAATAAAGTATCTTAAAGATTGTTTCTCATTCCATATATATATAAATATGTTTTTTTTTTTTTTTTTAATTGACCATAGTTAGGATTCACTCCTCAGAGAAGTGTGGTGTTGCGATGGTATAGGCACGCGTGCGATACACTTGTTCAAATATGGCTTATTATCATAATCGGTAACCATTTATAAAGCAAAAAAAGTTACGCGTTTTAAAAATATTACAACTGTGATGGTGTGGTCGCAGGTGAGCGTCTTAAAGTCATTGTAGTTTGTTTAAAGCATAATGTTTGCTCTTCAGAAACTGCGTTTGTATTTATTACCAAAAAGTCAAAGATATAATATATTGTGAAGATTATCCTGATAAACAAAACGTGTAACGTTATGTATAGCGAACTATGTTTGAACACAGCATCTTAATTAATTCCAGCTGTCAAGTGTAATTCAAGGCTAAAACCGTGCAGTGTGAACTCGGCATAAGTAAACTCAATGTTTAACTCAGGGTTGGTTGAATCTCCTTATTAAAACAGGCCATAGAAATGACAGTGACTTTACACAGTGCGAGTGTAACGTTAGAGACAAGTTGTAAGAGGTCCGTGTACGTTTTGTTCATTTGTTTTCCGTTTTTAAACGGAATAAAGGAAATGGAGAAAACGGACGTTTTTCCGTTTTTCTTTTGCTCACGAGAAAACGAAAAAACGAGATTTTGGCTGGATATTTCGTCGTTCTCAACATAAAAGTCTTACACGCAGGCTTTTAATTATTATTATTTAATTATATATATATAAACAAAGTTTACATATTCTATCATTTGAACCACACACAGTTAGCAGGCTTACATTCATTGCGTATGTATAAATTAAATAAACACATAAATCAGAAGTATTCTTAGACATTTGTCATTAAAATAAGGTCATAGTTCACTGACAAGCTTCTTGCAGCTGTGCACCTGATGCAGAGCAAAGATAGCCATTTCCGAGCAGCACCTGGTTTACATGATTGTTTCAGAGCTATTGTAGGCCTAAATAATAGCCTACTCTGTATAAAATAATAATTTATTATTATTATTATTATTATTATTATTATTATTATTATTATTAGGCCTATTATTATTAGTATTGTTATTATTATTATTTACTTAGTTATTCAATGGTTGTAAGAACACATTGGACCCTGCATGGGGCTATAATAAATGGTACCATTTGTTTCTATTGGATTTTCTCCTATTTTAATTTAATATATGCCTTTAGCCTATTGTAAATATTTATTTGATAATTAATACTTTTTTATTGCAACGTCAAATTAGGCCTGTCTTATTATTATTATTTTTTGTTATTATTTTGTCGTTGTTGTTGTTATTATTATTGTAGCAGGGACATAGCCACAGGTGTGGCAGAGTGTGCTGGTGCGACCCAAAGTGGCATCTTGCACCTGAAAATAGATGCCTTAGCGCTCAAGCGCGCGCAAAAAAATTGCACAGGCAAAAGTAATGATGAATGTGTTGAAGGGAAAAAAAAAACATTCTAATTATTTGTTAATAAAATAGAGCAACATTATTCTCAGTCAGTGTAAGCTGAAAAAATTAAGATCGCCAGCATTTCAAGGGTGGTTTTATTTTTAGTTCATTGCTGTGACGCGCTATATTTCACTAAGGCTGCATGAGACTGCGCCTCTTGCTTATTTTCTCTATTTTACATACAGAACATATCATACAGTCCAGGTTCTACCGTTCTAGTGAGTGTGGGGCATTGCTTTACAGTGTTAAAGTAGATTATTTCTTGGCAAATTCATAATGATTCACTTTGTTTAGTAATAAATTTCATAGTTATAAAATAACTACATTTCAAGAATATGTTAACACTTTCAACTATTTAGGATTATTTATTGCATCAAAAGTAATTTCAAAGTAACATTAAATGTACGTATAAACTGCTTAATTTGTGTGTGTAAACACCTAAGATGCAAAAAGCTTATTTAGACCAGAATAGGCCTACTAAATGCAACGGTCAATGTATATAAACTTATGACCTAAAATGTCTTAAATGACTAAATTTAAGTCTTTTTAAGTTTTTAAATAATTTAAGTTTAACATAAATGATTTAAACTTTAAACTTCAAATTAACAGAGAATGGCAAATAAATTGTTTATTAAATGGAGGTCAGGTGTCTATCTTAATTATAATTATTAAATATTATGACACTATAATTCAGTGGTGTATTGGAGAGTACGCACCTTTTAATTAATTTTAAATAAGTGGTTTATCCTAAATAAAATGCAATGGGATCGGTGTGCAATGAATAGTTTGAAAACCCCTGGTTCAGAACAGACGAGCTAGTTGTATGTGCGCTGCGCTAATAACTTGGCATTTGCTCTTTTCGGTGCTGCCAGATGCATTTATAGTGCATAAAAAATAAAAAAGGTAATTCAGTAAAGCGCGCGATGCGCGCAGAAATAAGCGCACTATATGCATATGTCGAATTAAGTTCTCTTTTTCTTTAATCAAGACTATTCCATTCGAGGAATTACAGTTATTAATAGCTTAGTCCTTATAAACGATCAGTTTATAAAATACACAATTTACGGATCAAGCCTAATAAAGAATAAGAAGAATATGCAACGCATTATGATCCTTGAATGATCAGAGCGCATTTATATAAACTATATATTTTATATAATCCATAAATATTAAAAAAACATTATACATTTAAAGTAATGGAACATTATATGTTATAAAATCTAAACTATTATTTAGGCTACAGGCTAAATAAAGGCGCCTTTTCTGGGCTGTTCAGCACGTGCGTCAAAGAAAAGACATGACACAATCTCTATAAAAACTTGTTGTTTATTTACAATATCTAAAGGGATATAAAACATCTAACATGCATCTCCATTCTCAACGAGTTTCTGTGTTCTGCATCCTTCACCTGGACTGTATGGAAATATATGTACACCATATATATATATATATATATATATATATATATATATATATATATATATATATATATATATATATATATATATATATATATTAACAACAATATATTAACAAACAACACTTTTGTAAAATAGAGAAAATAAGCAAGATGCGCTTTCAGTCTTATACAGCCTTCGTGAAATATAGCGCGTGACAGCAATGAATTGAAAATAAAACCTTGAAATGCTGGCGATCTCTTATTTTTTTTTCATCCTACACTGACTGAGAATAATGTTGCACTATTTTATTAACAAATTATTAGAATGTTTTTTTTCTTCCAACACATTCATCATTACTTTTGCCTGTGCAAGTTTTTTGCGAGCGCTTAGTGCGAAGGCATCTATTTTCAGGTGCAAGATGCCACTTTGGGTGGCACCAGCACACTCTGCCACACCTGTGGCTACGTCCCTGCTACAATAACAACAACAACAACAATAACAACAACAAAATACAACCAAAAAATAATAATAATAAGACAGGCCTACTTTGACGTTGCAATAAAAAAGTATTAATTATCAAATAAATATTTACAATAGGCTAAAGGCATATATTAAATTAAAATAGGAAAAAATCCAATAGAAACAAATGGTACCATTTATTATAGCCCCATGCATGGTCCAGTGTGGGTGACGTCACGAGCGCAGATTTGGTTGACCAATTAGAGGAAAGTGGGCGTTTCAGCACCGCCTACATGTGTAAGATGAATTTTAAAGTCGTTTATCCGTTTTCCTACCCTAAACCAAAAAACGAAAATCCAGCCAAAATCTCATTTTTCCGTTTTCTCGTGAGCAAAAGAAAAACGGAAAAACGGCCGTTTTCTCCATTTCCTTTATCCCGTTTGAAAATGGAAAACAAATGAACAAAACGTACACGGACCGTACACGGACCATTTTTTGACTCATTATTTCGTTTTGGTTTTGTGTTTGTTTTAATATTTCGTTTTAAGTTAATTAGCAGAATAACAGATGAGTTTCCGTTTTTTCTGCCTACAGAATAAACAGAAAAACGAAATATGTATCGTTTTTCTGATGTTTCGTTTTCCGTAAAAAAAGGAATAATCAAATGAACGGATGATACACGGACCGTACACGGACCAGTTTGGATAAATATAACGCACATACGTAAACTTAAAAAAATAAAATAACAATCATGCGTAATGAATTAAAGTAACAGTTACAGACGGGCTGTTGAGAGCTGGCTGCAAGAACTGATTAAGACGAAATCTATGAAACTAACGTTACATTCAGTAAAGCAACTAAACATGTCATCAACCAATAACTGTTTGCTCTTAAAGTGATTTGATGTACACTAATCTGATAACAAATAGCGTTAAAACAAGCATAAATTGTACTCACAGAGATTAGCCATGTCGCCTAATGCAGCGTCACCCAGCTGAGAGAACTTCCGGGTCACGCGGATGAAACCTATTTCACTGCTGGGGGTGAAATATGTGGTTATTTGATTTAATGACAAACATAACCAGGCATTACAAACGAACAACAATAGATATACAATCTACTTAATGTGTAAACATATATTTTATAAATACAAACTTCGCAAGTGTGTCAAAATCACGAACTGAGCATTAAAAGAAGGCAAAAAAAACCCTAACATGGTGTGAGCCAAAACAGGCTAAAATGAATGAAAAATTAAAGAAACCTTCATAAACATCTAAACGTCTTTATAATAAACGTTAAAGTTGAAACCTTTTTTAAAGCTACGATGTTGGTTTGTAATGATATAAACGGTTGTGTGATCGTATAAACAGGCTTGAGTAGAAAAAGACGGAATGTTGGTGGTGTGCTTTGTGTCTGTTTGTAATTGGCCGTTTCCAGTATTTCTCTTTCTAGCCAATGAGATACACGAAGTCCCAAATCACGTGGCGTGTTCGAAAGTTGCTTGCGCTGCAGTGACAGACTGGCTAGACATGAAAGGTAAGACAATGCTGATTTGCAAAGGCAAATGCAGAGGGGAAGAAGTGATAATACCTAGACTAAGATTATGACAGATACTGGTGTTTAAAACCCACTCTTGCTTTAATGGGGAAAAGTCTATCAGATAAATGTGATGATTGTAATATAAACAGAAAATGTAGAGCATTTCCTTATGAAATGTAATAAATATAAAACAGAAAGGAAAATATTGACGGAAAGAATGTATAAATTAGAACAAGAATGAAGCTTGAAAAGATTATTGGGGCAGTTGGAAAAAAATTGGGAAATTAGCAAGGCTATTTTAAACTTCCTTAGAGATACGGGAATGTAGCATAGGATAGATCAGTGGTGGGCAAACTTTTAGACCTGAGGGCCACATCAAGTTTTGCATACCAAGTGCAGGGCCACGTGTCAAATCCTTCAAAAAATATATTTTATTTATAGTGGCAGTATGCATAGAACATGTGAATATTGAACAGAAACATGTCACATTAACACAAAACTGATTTTTTAAAAATATATACTTATTATTGAGTCAAATTTACAAGTCAAATGAATTTGCAGTGCTATTTATCATTACCCATCAATCATCATGAGACAAAAAATAATCCCTTATAAAATATAATAATAATGTAATCATTTTTTTACAGTGGATAATAGAAAAGATATTATCTGATAGAAAAAAAATGTCATATTAACACATTAAAAATAATTCTTAAAGTTTACTATTCAGTCAAATTTACAATAATCTAATTTGCACTGCTTTTAGAATATACTGATCAATCATCATAAAACTTGATAAACCCACAAATTTTTGATAAAACAACTTTTTAAAGTGGATGTATGCATGGAAATATATTGTATGACAAAAATTAACACATTAAACCAGCATTTATTATATAATTTGAGTCAAATTCACAACAATCTCGTTTGAGCTGTATTAATATGCTCATATCAATCAGTATAAAACTGTAAGATAAAACGCAAGAAGAATCTTAGTATTTGTTATTCCAAGTCATGTTGTTATGAGTGTGTTAATGTGAACAATGAGCCTGAAAATAAAGTTATATTAATATCAACAGCAACACTCTCGCAAAATGCCCAGCGGATTTAGTTGTTGCCTAACGACCAGAGGTGTAAAAAGTACCTGAAAACCATACTTGAGTAAAAGTACAGATACCTTACTGTAAAAATTACTCCATTACAAGTTACAAGTCACCTATTCCAATAAGACTTGAGTAAAAGTATTAAAGTATCCGATTTTAAAAAGAACTTGAGTATTTTACTCATTCTGAATGTAGGCTCAAAGAACACCAAGAAAGATTTTATTTCCTAATAATATAGAAATTAAATTAAACACCTCAATGTTTCTATACGGTAGAACAAAATAGAAAAGAAAAAAAAAGTCTTAGTCAAACTCAAATGTTCAAAAAAGACAAACAATTAAAAAAAACAATTTTTTTTTAAAGTAAAACGTTAAAAAAATCTTTCACGTGATTCACCTCTCAGTCTCAGAGGGGGGGCAATACTTTACTTTGAGTAGTTTTTCAGTTATGATGTCTTCTCTGCATTAAAATTAAACAAAGAGGATCAGTGTTATTTTTCAAATTATACTACATATAAATTCAATGAAAAATACATCACAAACTCACAGCTAAATGCACCTGATGCAAAATGTATAATTTCAGTGATAGATTAATTCACGTTGGCCCAAAAAAATTAAGCTAAAATAGTTATGTCATGTCGCAGTGGTTTTTGCCATATGGGTAACTGTATTAAATTCACATTAAATAACATTAAATAGAGTCTTTCTTTAATGTGTTTTCTCAAATTTGACGATGAATTTTTAAAAGCACTTATTTTCGTGGTTCATGGCAAACAGAGTAGACACTGGTGTCTGCAATTTCTATGTTATTTGATTTGATTGTAGGTCGCTATGACTTCTCTTTGCCTATGAGGTGCTGCAACACATGCCACAAATCATGGACACCTGGGCTGCTGGACCTTACCCGAAGTGGTTACTGGCCAGGCTCTGTAACATTTCAAACAATATATCAGGTTGACCTGTTCACTTCTTTTGAGCTGTTTAAAGTTGCTGCACCAGGCCTATCACGACAAGCATTTATAAAGATGTTAGAGCAAACGTCACAGAACTTTGGACGGGTAAAAATGCTTTAAATAATGCTTTAAATGTTAAGAAAAAAAAACAGCTCTTTAGCTCCATTGTCTCCCCCCCCAACCCCCACCCCCCAATGAAAAAGAGAAGCTCAGTGCAATTGATCACTTCTCGTGTCCTGCATGTGTAACCGGTTCTGCGTTGTGTTTTCTTAGTTTTATGAAGGAATAACCAGTCGGAGATCTGCAGTTGTGACGGCTCCTTACTGAGAATAAACAGAAACCACAGCTCTTACGGTGTGTCTTCGCCCTTACAGCTTTTCTCTCCCATACGTAGTCAGTGCAGAAAGGGTGAGATGGAGAGAGAGAGAGATAGAACAAAACTCCAAACAATATTAACAAAGTGACAAAACATACCTCTCCCATGCGTAGTCAGTGTAGAAAGGGAAGAGGCGGGTGCAAAACAAGAAATTAAACAGCGTGAGCTCCCTTAGAAATTTAAAGGAAAAGATACACTAACAAACACCTCAGGTACACTTAACACATTAGATAAAATACATATTTTGTGTAATTCTATACTTGAAGCGAATTATAATTTTCATACCTGTTACACATGTATCCCAAATGCTGTTGCGGTGTCTGCAGAGGAAACCGCAAACTGTATCGGTTTAACAAAGCCAGAGAGTAAGAGCATACTACTCACAGTAATAAATGCAAATGGATTATGCATATTAGTTTATGCTGACCGTATACATTTTTTCATGTTATTAATAGAGTCGAAGAACAGCCTTTTTTCAATGGAGTTTTTATTGCCAAGGATGAGAATGTGACCAATTTTGTCAATTTCATTCAACAAAATACCAGCTCAGTATGCTTCTATAATTTTATGATTAAATTGGTTATTTAACAAATATAAATATTTCACTTAATACTATTGATATGTTTTCTTTAATACAGGTAAAAGGAAAAGGCACATGTGGAAAATCCACTTGGGCTGCTGCCAGAGAGACTTCAAGTAAGTCTAGTGGTAAATTGGATGAGGAGGGGTTGGAAGTGACTGTGTGCAGACACAACATTTTGCTTAAAGCCCTGAATATGAGCAGGGGTGTGTTTTTTGGGTAACGCTTTCTTTTACAACCCACAACGTACCGCGTAAGTACAGTGAAATTACAGTGTACTTTTCTGTACGTACTGTGTAAGTATAATGAACGTATGTGTAGGTATAAGGGAACAAACCGTAATGCTTGGGTAAAAAGGGGGTAACAACCAGATGTTCATCACGAAAATTATCGCGTAAGTACAGTAAGATAACGATGTACTTTTCTGTACGTATAGTGTAAGTATAAATAACGTTTACGTAGGTATAAGGGAACAAACTGTAATGCTTGGGTAATAAGGGGATAACAACCACACTGTTAGACCTTACCAGGCTTTTTTACAGTAGAACACTGGCAACACTGTTGCCAGCTACTCACTGTAAAAGTTTGGTTACAGTAAGTAACTGGCAACAGTGTTGCCAGTTAATTACTGAAACTGAACCATTACAGTGAGTGGCTGGCAACAGTGTTGCCAGTTGTTTACTGTAACCGTACCATTGCAGTGAGTAGCTGGCAACAGTGTTGCCAGTTAATTACTGTAATAGAGCAGTAGTGGTAACTAACTGGAAACTGTGTACAGTTAATAACTGTACTGTAGTGTTACAACTCACAGCATTATACTGCATACACAATAGTATGTCAAGGTGTTACTAAAATTTATTAGTATTCTTACCTGTTATTAATTCTTTAAATTAATTAAGTTGTAAATTCTGACAAATTTATTTTATTGTTTTGGCAGCAAACAAATATAAAACAGAAAATGTATAACAAAATTAAGAAATCAGCAGACATAAATATCATCTTACATATTACTGAGAGCCACAGGTCTGCACAGCAAGGCTGCAGTCAAATTAACGTTTAAGCATGCAAAATTCTGTCACATGGCTCTGCGAAAAGGAGTGGGATTAAACAAAATATTTAGAGATTGAAAAAGCAAGCAACTGGGCCATAATTTTTGTTTAGAGAGGTCATGGTTTGATCTTTGATTTGTCTCAAGCAATCACATGATGTGATTTCGCAGTTCAGAGTTCTCCAAACTTGAACTTTCCAATGCTGCAAACTGTAAAATTTGTCGCATGCATTTCAGGTCTGCAGCATTCACATGCATATGAATGGAAGTCTATAGGGAGAAAAGTTCAGTGTGACCGGGACTTTAAGCTGTAACTCTAATTAAACACACCTGATAAAACTAATTAAGGCTCGTTAGAAATCTACAGGTAATGTTGAAGCAGGGTGGGAACTAAACTCTGCTGCCCT